CTCCTCCTCTCCTGTCCTTTTTTTCTTTTCCTTTTGAAAAGTGTTTATTTCTGAAGAGCCTTGCACATACTGACCCTTACTGTATCACTGAGTTAAGTCTTTAGCCCCTAGGTGTCAGCTGAGACCACTATCTTTCTTTTTTTTTAAATTCCTTTTGTTGTTGTTGTTGTTATAAGCGTTTGGTTTGCTGTTGGTGTTGGAGGGGTTGTTTTTTATTTTTTCAGACAGTCTGACTCATACCACCCCTCTAAGAACTAAGTTAGCCGATAAGAAGTTTATTTGAAGTGTTATGCCCAGAATAAGTAGTGGTTTCACCGTGGGAACTGGGGTGACAGACAGGGATCAAGAGCTGAGAAAAGAAGGAAAGTATGAGCCTGCTTACATTCTCAGCTTAAAGTAAAGACGTCTGTGGAAAGGCTCGTGTGAGCAGAGGATGCACTGACCAGTCTGTAGGGAGAGATTCTGTAATATCTGTCTGTAGTTACACTTTCAACAAAGAAGCACACTATTTTCTCGAATTCTTTTAAGTCCATTGAGAGTTTAGTGGTTATACATGTGTCCATATACACACTATAATGTGCATTTATGTGTATGGTATATATATATATGTGTGTGTGTGTGTGTGTGTGTGTGTGTGTGTGTGTGTGTGTGTGTATAAATCTAGTATTCTCTTTAGCTTGAACATCTTACTGTCTTCATTTGTGCTTTTGTTTTGATCTCCATATTTGCAAAGAGGCTGGAGTGTGTGTACACATGACTGTATTATGGTCTTTTGTTAAGGCATCCTAAAATCTATATTTTCAACTGAGATCAAGTGTGTGCAGGGCAATACAAATGGCATTACCTCACTGGGAACACAGGGCTTCAATGAAATCTCCAAATATCCAAATGGTTCCAGTTCTTGTAAGCTGTACAGCTTACAAAGCAGAACTCATGTAGAGTCCTCTGTTAATTCTGCAAATGAGAAAGAGGAAGCTTTGCTAGTGAGTCAGCCACCTTGGTTAGCAGACATTCATATAACTAAGCTTGCAAAATTTAAAATGCTTGGAAGTTTATCTTAGGTTTATTTCTCTTCAATGCATTACCTCATCTTCCTATAAATTATGCTTTTTAAATGGCACAGAGCATTAAAAGAGAGCAGTTGTCTTTTTTCTACATACGCCATCCCTTACAAAATCTAAAAAAACACTACTGTCTAGTAAAACAAAGAGAAATAAAATGAACATTTAGGGAAGGCAGGAGCACTCACTTAATGATTTGCTGTTTATTTATAGGCTCAAAATATTATTGCTAGAGCCTTTCTTACTGGAATTGTCTGACGACTCATCATTTGTCTTTCTTCAATCTTTCTGCACTGTAATAGTAATAGATGTTCAGTATTACAGTTTAAAATGTGTCAAAGGAACTAAAAACTGGTTAATATGGTCCTTGTTCCACCTGCAGTTCCCAAGTGGGTCTTTTTTTCTTTGTACACAATTGAGATGACGTTATATTCATTTTTCCCTCTTTTTGTTCCCATAATACATATTACTTTAACATTTCAAAATGTTCTGTGGACATGCTTCTGTCAGTAGACCTGACACTTTCTACTTGACCTGGTAGTATCAGCTTCATAGCATGATGTACATGGTTAATTCACATTATTTTCCAGTTTTGTCCAATGCTACAGGGAGCCTATTGCCAGAGAATCCAAAGAGCCCAATACTGAATCAAGAGGCCAGAATCAAGAGGCCCTGAAAATTCTCTGTAAACCAAATATATTGGGTCAGAAAATAGACAGCTTTTCACGGTAGAACGCCCATCTTCTCAAAGCTCTGTGGGCTGAGATGATGAGCTGTCTGGTCTGTCAGTGGTGGATATCTTGGTTAGCCTCAGCACCAGGCTCTAAGAGGGGCTTGATGCAAATGTAAACTAAGAAACAGCAGAGCAGAGCCCCCAAAGAAGGCAGCCTGGCTGCTGATTCTTCCTGGTTGGCCAGTTCTGACCTCATCTTAAGATTCTTGTTACTGAATGTAGCTGACACACTTTCAGATAGTTTTGTGGTGTTTTTGTTTAGAAAATTTCTGCATGGTATAATAATGTGAAGACAAAGGAAACAACTTCCCAAATAACAAAGAACTTAACTCAGGGCCCAGAACTCTGTCCCACAGGCTGTAATCACCTTTTAGAAACTTTTTTAATAATAACGTTGATATTTATATACAATGTACAAATGTAAACAGAGTTAGAAGTTCTCTTTTGATAGAAGATAAAAAACATCTTTTGACTTTCCTCACCTTATTTCTTAACATTTTTATTTCTGTTGTTATCTTCAGTTTTAAGGCTGTGGACCACCAAGCAATAAATCATGAGTCTGGTCCATGAAGCCAATCTTGATGTGTTTGCAGTTACATGGAGAGATGATTTTTGTAGATAAGCGTTTGATCATGGCCATTATGTCTGAGACAATAATAACTGACTGGGGATAGAGTCAAGACCCAAGAACCAACTCTGTTTCAAGATGGTATCACTCAATTCTTCACAAGCTTTAGATAAGACACCTTAACTGAAATGAATTTATCATGGGTAGGGGGTCTCACAAACTATCAAATATTTAAGATAAAGAATTCCTGTGTATGTATCTCACTATTTCTCTTACACACACACACACACACACACACACACACACACACACACACACACACACACACACACAGTGGGGGCGGGGTGCGGAGGGAAAATTTTGAACAGGCACAATTCCCTGTTCAACATTAATGAAGAACCGAATCTGAAGGAGGTATATGTACAGTTAGCTGCATATATCACTGGGACTTTAGAATTTCTCTTGTTTGTTTGTTTGTTTGTTTGAGACAGGGTTTCTCTGTGTAGTTTTTGGTTCTTGTCCTGAATTTCACTCTGTAGGCCAGGCTGGCCTCGAACTCACAGAAATCCGAGTAGCTTTGTATCCTGAGTACTGGGATTAAAGGCGTGTGCTACCACCCGCCCAGCTAGAATTTCTCTTAATAATCCATGTGATTTTGATCTCAGGGTTAACAAGACTAAGCTTCTCACCAACGTTAGATTAGTGGTCATGCAATTTTAAGTCACTCACTGAAGCTCTCAGCCCCAGTGGCTACATCTATAAAACGAGAACCATACCCCCATTACCTTATAGAATTATAGAGAGGTGGTAGGCACAGAATATCTGTTATTAATACTAGTGAAGAAATGTTGGTCTCTCTTTCAGAAAATTCAAGAGATCTCTAGCAGGATCTTCTTGCTAAGATTAAAGAGAGTACACAGGAGGGTGTTAAAATAAGATGCAGTGAGAGATGAACAATGATGCAAGATGATCAATGGTTTTACGGAAACAGAGAGATGTTTTCCCTTTATCTCACCACTTTTCCACAAGGAGAGTCCTGCGAATCAGACAGGCTAATTGTTATGCCTGATCTGCAGAAGGGAAACTGTGACTTATAAATTTAAATGAATGGACCACTGCCACCCTGCAAGTCTGTAGTCAAGTGGATCCTTTTGAACTAAGAGTCCAATGTTCATGATACTTCTCCCAGCTGTCAATGCCAGACCCTTGGTGAATATCAAATGTTGAAAACCTAATTCCCAGATTGTGTCCGCCTGCCTCATATGACGCTTGTAAAAGGAGATCAACTAGCACAGATATCGGAGGCCTCTTCTAGGGGCACTTTCGGACTGCCACCACACTCCTGAGGAACACACGGGCACCACATGAATTCCTGTGTGTGATGGACAACAAGAGCTGTGTTCCTAATACCAGACACGTTGTGTCTACATGTGCCTATTTGCTTGTTAGCATTTTCTGAGTGAAAGTTGATTGTTCAAGGAGAGCGACCCTTCAACTACTATGAGAAGGTTGGCTTGCTTTCTTCAGGCCAGAGTTTACTGTCATAGATGCCAAAAAAGGATTAATGCCATCCTTTGGGGGACACTGGGCATATTTTGTTCTGAGGAAATCTTTCAGAAAACTTATACCTTCTGTTGTCCCGCTGAGTACACACAGCCTGCAGATGGACACACATTTATACAATACCTCAGCATCTCAAGGCTTTGCTGGAACCTGACTCATAATACCTACACTCAGCAAATGCTCCCCACTACTGCCACAGCTTTGGAGTTACAGTGCAACATCGATTCCTAGGAAAACTTTATAAGAAAAAAAAATGTGAAAGACGGTCAGTTTAGATTTTTTATAATATGTAATAACCGCTACCTCCTGTACAATGTATGATTTTTTTATAAGATGTAGTAACTGCTACCTCCCATACAATGAATGATTTCTTAGGAATTGTGGGAGAAAGGTCGTTACTAGAAGGACGATGGGTACGATGCTGGTGATGACTATACCTCTTCCAAGGCAAGGAAAACAGTGCCTAGCATAAGCATGAGTCTATTGAAAACTTTATCTGAATCAGAACAAATGAAGTTACAACCGTCGGGGGCGGGGGAGCCTTCGATATAAAGTGGAATTAATTTCTAAAGAGTAAGGAAAATATGCTTTGTTTATTCCCCACAATGACAGTGATTTGGTTTCAGCCTAAACAAGCACCACAAACAAATACTCTGGGAGTGGCCATACCAATCCGTTTTCATCGGCTTCCAAGCCCTGGCTTGGCTGATTCAAAAGCAGAACAAAAGTCCAGGCCTACTACACCCTCAAGCGTTCAAGTGGTGCTTTGGGCTCCAGGGTTATTTATAGCAATCTGGCTCACAGAAGTACTTCCTGCTCTATTCAGCAAATGTTCCCGTGAGCACCCTAGAGCCAAGGCACAAATGCTGTAAGTGTGCCACCCAAGACAAGTCTTCAAACCTGTAGTGATTTTGATCTAGCCCTCAGGCTCTGGGGTGACCCTTTACCTCTAGACAGGCTCATTTTCTTATGTGCACATTCTATCTATAGATGCTGTGACAAGGACAGATTCATCGGAGATGACTGATGTGGAATCTGTGATCAGCAGCTTTGCAGCTTCAGCAAGGGCAGGCCGCCGCAATGCCTTACCTGACATCCAGAGTCCAGCAGCCACAGGTGGATCCTCTGATCTTCCACTGAAGCTGGAGGCATTGTCCATGAAGGAAGGTAACACTCCTAATCCTCTGAAATAAAACCCATGGCATGTCTCTCCTTTTGATCTTTTCCTTTGGAGCAGCCTTTAAATTAGTTCTAAGTGCTCTCTTTTCTTCTTGCCTAAAAGCTCTCAGGTTTTAAGACTAAGCAGATTTTTATGCCCTTCTGAAACTAGGTAATTTCATCTTGATATCCTAGGGATGAACATAGAAACTGCTGTTGTGTCTATTGGATGTGTGGGGTCATGTGGTAGGATTCTAGTTTCAATCTCCACTACAAAATTAATTAAAAGCAATCATAAATATTAACTATTGCACTGGAGCTGAGTATTGTGACTCATGACTAGTTCATTATCTGTCTTAATCTACCACTTACTGTTTGAGAATCCTAATAAAGACAACAAACCTTCCACATATCAAGAAGAGGTGATGGAAGATGATGTTTCAGTCACAAAATGTCTTGTCTTGCTTCTATCATTGCTATTTCATCTACCATTCAACTTTATGCTTGCTGAATACTAGGGAACCCAGTGGTAAGTAGGGCAGATGTGACCTCCTGATGCCTCAAATCTTCCAGTCCAACAGGAGTATTGGATTTTAAAGGAATAAATATATAGGCTAACAATGATATGCTTTATCAGAAAACCAAGATAGGGTGCCTTGTGGAGAGTTTGTGGGTGACTATATTAGAATAGAAATCAGAGAAGTCATCACTGAAATCAGAATCTCATGAGGTTGAGGCAAGAGGACTGTTATGAGATTGATGCTGTCCTAGGATACACAGTGGTTCCAGGATAGCCTGGGCTGCAGTGTAAGACTCTGTCTCAAAGAAAACTAGCATAAGGATGATATCAGTTGATACACCATTGCAGACAGGGGAAATTCCACATGGTCCCACACTAAATGAAGAGCTTCAGGAGGTCAGTGCCTACTAAGAGAGAATTGGTTACTTGCAGAGACAAACCTATTCCTACATGAGTTGTCCAATCCCTAGTGGTCAGCATTGAACATGTGCACATATGGGAAGAGGTAAATAGACTCAGTAAGTTATATATAGAAGTGTGCATATGTATGTATATGCATGCAACAATAAGTGAAAAAGAAGGTATGGATTTGCATGAGGAAGGAAGGAGTTGGAGAAAGGAATGATATAGATGCAGTGCTCATGACTGAAGTCCTCAAAGAAACCCACAATGTTTAGAATCCTTAAAAACCAATAAAAACTCAGCAACTCTTCTCTACATACAACAGTAATCCAGCTATAAGATGGGGTGGAGGAGAATTCATAATTAAGAATGAAATATAAACATCCTTGGGGTAAAGCAGACTCATGTAGTCTAGAAATAAAGACTGGCCACTGTGGGTGGAAGGTGAGAGAAGAGTAGAAATAACACAAGAAGAGAACTTTGGACCCATAAGCAAGGGCCAGATCTTGTGAAATTTGAGACTGTGACTGCTAAGGCCCTAAGTTTGCTTGCAGCTCTTATCTACTTCCCTGTCTCTGTTTCATAGCAAAATACCATGACAATGTGTTGCTCTTCTGATTACTAATCCCCCCCCCTTTTTCCTCTGGTCCTAGTGAGACTTCATCCCATCTCACCAATCTGTGTTGTCATGGCTATAGTTGTTGGTCCATTCTCAGGCCTTCTCTAGCATGACCCTGTAAAATGTTACCATGATTGATTACTACATCTTCCCTCAAAGAGTTCTCTTCTTTTGATTCACAGGACACTTTGCTCTCATGGTTTTCTTTTTTTCCTCATTGACTTTTTCACTTTGGCTTTCTCTTTGTTCATATTCTCAATCACTTGATGGAATAGAGAGTATGAAGTACAGTCTTTTGATAACTTGGTCAATGTTTCTTTGCTTCTAATGCTATCTGATTTCATTGTATAGTTTCTATCCTTCTGAGACATAGATTTAGATCTTATATTAGTTACTTTTCTTGTTGCAATGACCAACTAACTGACAAAACCATATTAAGGAAGAATTTTTTCTTTTATTGAAAACAGGTTTGTTTTTTTTTTCTCACATGATGTATCTTGATTACACTTTTCCCTCCCTCCTCATCTCCTTGTTCCTCCCCATGTCCCCTCCCATTCAGATCCACCTCATTTCTTTCATTAGAAAACAAACAGGCTTCTAAGGGATAGTAATAAGATATAATAAAGCAAAAGCATGTTGGAATAGGACAAAACAAAAAGAAGGAAAAGAGCCCAACAAAAGGCACAAGAAACCGATAAAGAAGGATAGACCCACTCATTCACACACTCAGGAATTTCTTAAGAACATTAAACTGGAAACCACAATACATATGCAAAAGACCTGCAGGGTGGAAAGAGAGGAGGAAAAATGCGTGCGTGCGTGCGTGCGTGCGTGCGTGCGTGCGTGTGTGTGTGTGAAGTAAAAAAGGAAAAAATTTAAAAAATAAGGAAAAATGGAAAAATTCTGCCATGACATTATGGGACAAGGAACCTCCAAAGATAACTTTGAGTTCATCTTCTTTTGGCCATCTGCTGCTGGGCATACACCCTACCATTGAATAGTTTATATCCCCAGTGAGACTCCCTTGGAGTAAACTAAATTTTCATTTGCAAGTGGTTATCATTTGGAAATTGCTTCTACCTTAATGCTGGGGGCATAGATCCACTTGTCCTATCAGCACAAGGGTGCCAACTAGTGCAGACCCATGCAGGTTCTCTGCGTGTTACCCCAGTCTCTGTGAATTCCTGTGTGCTGCATCTATCCTGTTTGGAGTTTGGAGAGCTTGTTTTCTTTGTGTCCTACATCCCCTTTGGCACTTACACTCTTCCGGTCTCCCCCCACCCCTTTTTTTTGCAGGATTTCCAGATCCTTGAGGGGAGGGATTTGGTGGATGCATCTATTTAGGACTGAATGTTCCAAGGTCTCTTACTCTCTGAATGGCTGTGGGGTCTCTGTATTAGTTCTCATCTGCTACAGGAGAAAGCTTCTCTGATTATGGCTGAGCAAGGCCCTGATCTCTGAGTCTAGCAGAACGTCACTAGGAATCATCTTATTGCTACATTTTTTAAGAGCAATAGTATTTAGTTTTATCCTAGGTCCCTGGGCTATCTAGTCTCAGGTTCTATGTCACCAAAGCATTGCCAGGTATGGGTTCCATCTCATGGAGTGGGCCTTCAGCCCGATCAGACATTGGTTGGTTACTCCAGAGTCTTTGTGCCACCATTGCACCAGCATATCTTGCAGGCAAGACACTATTGTAGATCAGAGGGTTTGTGGCTAGGTTGGTGTTTATTTGTCATTTGGTAGTGTGCAAAGTAGCTTCCTGTACGAAGAAGCTGGGATGAAGGGGTAAAGGCTCTAGGTAGGCACCAGCTTGATATCTCCATCTTCAATGAGTTGCTTAGGTGTTGTCTTAAGCAATGGGGCCCTGCCATCAGTTTGTGGAGAGTAACCTATAGCCTTGGCAACAGCCTAGTTTGCTTAGGAGGGTTTCCATGGGATCTTTCTGACCAAAAGCTCAATTAGATGTAACCCAATTCTGGGACTGGAAGCTTCTTTTGGTGACAAGAGATAGCTAGTTGGCTCTCCCCCATTATTTGGCTGTTTAATTTAGATTGCCTTCATATATATGTTTTAGTACTTCTACTCTATTAGGTTTCATATAACCCCTCAAATGGTCATTAATTTTAGCTGTCCTTATCCACATTTCCTCCCTCACTCCCTTTTCCCTCCCCTGCCCCATTTGTTCCTCTTGTTCTAGTCTCAGATATCCATCCATAGTTATCTATTCTATTTCTCCTTCCTAGGGTGACCTAATCCTCCCTGCTAGTCCCTTATTCTATACCTAACCTCTGTTGGTTATAAGGGTTGTAGCTTGCTTATTGTTGACTTAACAGCTACATGTAAGTGAATACATACCAAACTTTTCTTTTTGGGGGTCTGAATTACCTCAATCAGGATGATTTATTCTAAGTTCCACCCATTTACCTGCAAATTTATGATTTCATTTTTTAAATGTCTGAGTAATATTCCGTTGTGTAAACATATCACATTTTCTTTATCCATTTATTTTTAGAGGTACATCTATATTATTTCCAATTATTATGAATAGAGCAGCAATGAACATGGTTGAGCAAGTGTCTCTGTGGTAGGATAAAGAATCCATTGAGTACATGCCCAAGAATGACATACCTTGACCTTGAGGTAGATTGATTCCCATCTTCTTGAGGAACCATCACACTGTTTTCCATAGTGGTGGTATGAATTTGTAATACCACCAGCAATGGATGAGTGTTCCCTTTACTCCAAATCCTCACCAGTATGAGCTGTCACTTGTTTTATTGATCTTAGCCATTTTGATAGGTATAAGATGAAACCTCAAAGTAGTTTTGATTTGCACTTCTTTGATGATTAAGGATGTTGAATTAAAGTGTTTCTCAGCCATTTGAGTTTGCTCTTTTTAATATTCTCTGTTTAGATCTGTGCTCCATTTTTAAATGGGTTATTTGTTTTTTTTTTTTTGATATCTTGTTTTTTGAGTTCTTTATTTATTTTGGATATTAGTCCTTTATCAGATGTGTAGTTGGTAAAACTCTTTTCATTCTGTATGCTACTGCTCTGTCCAAATGATGGTATCCTTTGCTGTACAGAAGCTTCTCAGTTTTATAAGGTCATCCCATTTATTAATTGATTTTCTTAGTGCCTGAGGATTTTGATCCATTTGGAACTGAGTTTCATGTAAGGTGATAGGTATGGATCTATTTGAATTTTTCTACACACAGCCGTGAAGTTTGACCAGCATCATTTTTTGAAGATGTTGTCTTTTCTACAGTATGTATTTCTGCCTTATTAAAAATCATGTGTCTATAGTTATTTGGATTTATGTTTAGCTCTTCATTTTGATTCCATTGATCAGTGTGACTGTTTTATGCCAATACCATTTTTTTTTTTATTTCTTTACCTCTGTAGTACAATTTGAGGTTTATGGTACCTCCAACAGTTCTTTTATTTGTCAGAACTGTTTTAGCAATCCTGGATTCTTTGTGTTTCCATATAGAGCTGAAAATTTTCCATTTAAGATTTGTGAAGTATTGTGTTGAGATTTTTGACTCAATATGTAGATTGCTTTTGGTAGGATGACCATTTTTACTATGTTAATCCTACTGATCCATATGCATGGGAGATTTTTTCATCTTTGGTTATCTTTTTCAGTTTCTTTCTTCAATGTCTTAAAGCATTTATCATTCAAGTCTTTCACTTAGTTGGTTAGAATTACCCCAAGATACTTTATATTATTTGAATCTATTATGAACGATATTGTTTACCTGACTTCGTTCTCAGTCCATTTGTCATTTGTATATAGGATGGCTACTGATTTTTGTAATTTCATTGTGTATTTAGCTACTTAGCTGAAAGTGTTTGTCAGCTATAGGAGTTTCCTAGTAGAATTTTTAGGATCATTCATAAATCCTATCATGGAAGGGTTTAAGTTCACTCACAATTTAGGATGGTAATTCTTATCATGGGGGGGATGTGTCATGATAGGAGTGTGAAGTACCTGGTCAAATTGTATCTATTGTAAAGAAGTAGAGAGATAAATGCCGGTTCTCAGCTCTCTTTCTCTTTTTCCCCCTTTTCATCTAGCAGGCCTCTAGCTGACTGGATGGTGCTGCCTACATTCAGATTGGGCTTCCCCATCTCACTTAAAACCATCTCAAAATGTCCTCACAAGGTACACCCGGAAGGATACCTCCTGGGTGATTCTAAATCTAGCCAAGTTGATAATGAATATTAGCCATTACAAGTCTACCCTTTATCAACTTGACACCCAAACATATAAGTTTTAAATTGTAAGCATAGCCCTAATTCACAACATAAGGAATTGTATTACAGGGTTGCAGCATTAGGAAGGTTGAGAACCACTGTTACAGAACAACTGTACAAGGTCTTTGTGGAACTAGGTAGCTGAACCTGGGGAAACTCTTCCTTTGATGAACAATTTTTAGCAAAGAACCTCTTCATAGGCTTCACATTTGAGTGCCACCCTACTCAAAAGAATTTGCATTTTTACAAACCTTGGGCTTCAGTGACTAAGGCATCGCCCTCTGGCATCTTTCCTCCTACACAGTACAAAATATGAGGCTTCCCATCCATGCCCCAATCTCTTTAATAGTTACAGCTGCTTTCTCCACACTTGGCTGATCTGCAGCTTTAAATGTTTCCCCTTCTTTGTCAAGCTGTAAACGTTTGCTTCTTTCTGCTCCAGTGGCAGCTCGCTCTCCCTGTAAGCACGCAAAAGAACAAGAAGCAGCAGCCATGGCATAGCCTCAATGCTTGCTACCTTGACATTTCCTCCTCCAAACATGGTAGTCAATTACTTTGCAATTCAGTCTCACTCAAGCTCTCGGGACATAGGCAGAGACTTCATTAGATGACTTCTAGTCTAATTCTTGATAGCATCCTTGTTTCCTCTCTGAGACCTCATAAACCACGCCTCCTGTATTCACTTGTCTTGCTATTTTGGTCTTCCACATCTCCACCAGAATATCCGGTTAAGCACTTCTTTTTAACATTTTAAGGCATTTCCCTAGCCTGGAGCTCAAAACTCTTCCTCCCAAAAGCTGGTTGTAAAGGCCTATGAAGCATACAAACAGGTTTAGCACTGCAGTTCCGTATTCTGAAGTCTCTTATTGCTGTTGCCAAATGCCTGAGAAAATCAAATTAAAGAGGAAGGGTTCACTTTGGCTCAGTGTTGAAAGGATGTACAGTTTTGTACAGCAGGAAGACAGAAAGGTCTGTGGGGAGGCTGTTCCACTGTCTTTTCAGTTAGGAATCAGAAAGAAATGAATGCTAATGCTCAGCTAGCTTTTCTGGTTCACTTTTTTATTCTGTCTGGGATCCTATGAAATGGCACTGCCCATATTCAGGGTCTTACTGAGTCTAGCCTTTTTGGAACTGCCCTCACACCTGTGTTTAGAGGTGTGTCTTCCAGGTCATTCTAAATCCACTCAAGTCGACATGACGTTTGGCTGTTATGGATCTCAGTCTGGAAATCCTTAGAGTTTGCTCTCATAGAAAGAACTATCAGCTGACATCATCGCTAGGGTATCCACCCAATGGTAATATCAAATTTATGAGCATAAGAGGAAACTTTGGATTTTCCTTCTGAAACCTGCTTTCCCTGTGTCCTTCCAATCTCGACGGTTAGCTATTTCTCAGCTCCAGTTGCTGAAACCAAAAATGTTAGCCTCATCCTCATCCCCCTTCTATTTTGCACATTTTGCATCTCATCCTTTAGAGAATACTGTTAGCTACACTTTCAACATTGGCCCAGAAATCTGCCATTTTTTCCACCTACTACATATATATATTGTCTTGGTGCTTCTTGGATTCCATGTCATGCTTCTTCTTTTCTTTCCATTGTCCATTTCATCTTGCTGCCTTTGACTTTACTATTGTCTCATTTAGGATTCTTTTCTCCACGTGATATGGACAGCATGCTACCTCGCCTTTGCAGGTCTTTACTAAAATGCCTCCTTTGTAGGTGTTTATTTTCAGCCAGTTCTGTATCAGTTTATGAACTCTGAGCCTGGAGACATCTTAACAATTTCTATTGTCTACCCCTGATTTAATAACCTCCTGACTATTGTTCACTTCTCAGATACCATACACTTCATATGTTTTGTTTATTGCCCATTTCATATCACTCACTGGGTGGTACTTGAGAATTACTTCATGTGCTTCACTTAGTAAATACCTTTACTTTTTAAATGGAGGCCTCACATTGTAGCCCAGGCTGGCCTGAAACTCATTATATAGCTAAGATTCGTTAACAGGTATTTTACAAATTAAAAGTCCTAAATATACCCTATCAGACTTACCTTCAAAGATTTTATAGATTGTTTTGTTAGAAGAATTTTTGAGGAAATGATTGAAACTTAAATAATTTTATTTAAATGAAGACAGTCAAATATAGAATGTTTCAAGAGATGAAAGGAAGAACAGTATTGCAACTGAACTGCATGTTTTTAATCACATCACTTGCAAGGCGAGGGTAGATAAATCTCTGTGAGTTTGAGGCTAGCCTGGTCTACATGGGGAGATCCTGTTTCAAGGAGGAGGACAAAGAGGAGTGGGGGAGGAGGAGAGTTTAAAGATGGCAGTGATTTGAAATGAAGAAGCAGGAAAAGGGGAAGCTTGATAAAGTAAACAGCAGAGAATTGTCACTGGAGTTAGTATCTTGATGAGTCAGAAACTGTCAGGAGTTGGAACCACGAGGGCATTAGACTTTGGCATCAGGAGCATCATCAGGGCTAACAGCAATGGCGTACATCCAGGGCAATGAATGGGGCCCTACACTCACAGAGGGTTGTACTTGCCAATGTCTCCTCTTCCTGTCTTTATTAGTGGTCACTGCATTTTCATTTTCTAGTGAGTGATAACAAATTATGAGCCATTCCTGAGAAGTACATCTTCCATTATTATGGGAACAGGGGCAGAAAGAATAATCCCAAGTGATAGGAGAGTTTTGACTTTTAGTTGCAGGAAGAGGAAGGAGATGGCATTGATTTAACTTTTTCTGAAGGGCAGACTATAAGGTTGTCTCTAAAAAGCAAAGGAAATAGAAAATATAAAGAATACATAGGAAGTGTGTCCCAGGATAGGTAAATGATTGAGGGCCCATGTAGCCATTTGATCTAGGTTCGAGTTGTGACTTCCACTAGCTCTGTGACTTTCCACAAGTCATTAGCCTGCTTCTACTGTAGTTTGCAATCCTGTAGATAGAGAGTATAATGACATCTGAAGAGTGTGCCTGGCAGGTAGTAACTATAGACCAGGAAAAAAGATGACTAGGAGAAAAATCTAGAAACTACTCAAATATGTCCTCTTTGTGCAGATTCATATGTGTGTGGAGGGCAAAATATAACCTAGTCAGGATGGAAACTACTCGGGCAGACAAAGCAGAAAAACAACTCCTTCACTCTAAATATAAAACATATTTCAACATATTTTGCATATGAATGGGAAATTACTTTCTTTTGCAGATGTTAAAAAGAAGAATGAAGAGAAAGCACAAGACCAACTGAAAAAGCCCCTAAATGAAGAAAAATGAACACTTAGAATTTATCCAGGGTGTTGATTTTGTTCACATTGGGAGATGTAGTGTGTATGCATTCCTGAAGTGTTTGATCTGGTAGTAGACGTGGTAATGTGTGTGTTTTAGGTCATTTTGTTGTGATACTCTGTCTTTAAACCACAACCATGATACACAAATAGGTTATAAAAAGGTATTATTTTGAAATTGCACCCAACGAAGAACACACTGTTTATATGACCAACAAAAATCCACTGTCTATCTTGGGATTTACTTAGTCAGATATGTGTTTAATTATGTTCTTACTGAGATAGAAATTTTTCTTGATATGCATAAACAGAAACCTAGTAATTTAATACTTTGTAGAATTTGTAGGAAATTATATTTTTTGGTGAGATGGAATTAATAGTAAATATCACACGTATAAAATGTGTTGATTTTTTTTGTCAAAATTATACCATGTTTTCCCCAAAAAGTTAAGAGTGTTCTGGAAATAGTGTAAGAGCTGTGACAACATAAACATTTCTAGGATGTTTTCATCTGATGTATTTTGCATCTAGTCTGTGTATACTGTGATTTTTCATATGGACCCACAGAATGTAAAATTTGTGGCAAATTGCTTATATGAAACATGTGTAATAAATAAATTCCACTATATTCCTTAACTTGGTGTATGTGCGTATCTTGTTTTGTGTGGACTGTATAAGATATTGTGCTAGTTTCTCTGGACTATTTCTTATTCTCTGGACTTTTGTGTGTGTGTGTGTGTGCAAATTGTTGCTAAAGTAATTTCATTAGGAATTCTGACCTCAATCTTTGTATTTTTCCTAAAGTAGCTAACATAGCAGTAATCACTTAAATATTTGCATAATACTATAAGTAAAAATAGCAAAATACATGCTTTTAATATATGTTTAAATATAGATTTAAAAAGAAAAGAAGAATAGCAAAACCAAGGTGCTAGCAACTTTTAACCTGTTAGAGAGTTTAGAAAAATAATATAATTCTGGATCTTAAATTTTTGAAATAATTTTATTTATAAATATTTATATTTATATATATGCAGGTAATTACATTTTAATTGTTTGTTGACTTAGAGTACATCTGTTTACATTAACTAAATAAAATTTTATGGTAGAAATTCATTACTGATACAGTTTTCCTTTATTTCATCTTCTGAAGTATGCTGGGTAAAAAGTGCTGATGTTATTGAAACAATAGCAGTCTTGTACTTTAAATCACCTCCTGCTTGTGACTGTATCGACCCAGTTTAACTTCATGATTATATATACCAAAGGCAGATTTCCAAGAGCTTCATCATTTCTAGCTAAAATAATCAAAATTAGTGTATAGGTGTGCATTAAATTAATGTTCAATAAAATATATTATAGCCATCTAAGTATTTAGGAAAGTTGTCTAATGAGGTGAGACTGAATGGTCAGCATGAGAAACAGAGAGAATAGCTGTTTCCAAATGGGCTGGGGTTAGAATTCAGCCTCCTAGATGATTTTGACGTAGTCTAGAGGCCACCGGGGAAAGGAGGCGGGCACAGAAGCTGCTGCTGAAGTGGAGTGGGCAGAGCTGGGATGCTGCTAGCAGCAGGTGAACACTCTTCACCCCTCACAAAGGCCTCCAGAGTGGAACTACCTACCTTACTGTCAATGTTACTGAAGTTGTGAGACTGGAGAATGAACTCCCTGGGTTTGAATTTCAACTCTAGCTATGTGACCTTGACCAGTGAAGATCATGTCCGTACGTTTCTACTTTATCCTCTGTGAGATGGCATCAATAATAGTCTACATTTTGTAGAGTGAGTGTGATGGTCAGTTTTGATCATCAACTTGACAAACCCAGGGTCACCATGGAGAGGAATCTCTACAAGGAATTTCCTAGGTTAGCGTAGCCTATGGGCATGTCTTTGGGGGATTGTCTTGATAACATTAGCTGATGTGGGAAGACCCAGCCTGCTGTGGGTGGTACTATTCTCTAGTGTGGAGTCCTAGACTCTGGAAGACATGAGAAGATGAGCAGAGTATCTGTAGGGTATGCTTGCATTCATGTCTTCTCTGCTCTGGACTGTGGACGTGACATGACAGGCCATCTTGAGCTCCTGGTGCTATACCTTCCTCTCAATGATGGATTGTAACCTGGAATCGTTACCTAGCCCCCTCCCAGCCCCCCCCCCCTATTTTCCTAAATTGCTTTTGTCGGGGTATTTTACCACAACAGTGGGAAAAAACTAAGACAGTGGTGAAAGCAGTGATAAGATTGTAAAGCACTTGAATGGTGTCTGGAAGAAGTGTTTGGATGGATATTAGCTGCTGTCTTCACAGTGCCTTCCCCTTTCCTCTTGGTCTTGTTCTTTGGTGAGGAGGTAGATGGGTAGCTAAACTGGTGAGTTGACTCTGGTTTCACAAATGTCCCTAATTCACGGTACTGGGAGAATAGATTATATTGGAAATGGGCAGTTTGAGATACTTACCACATTAATGCAAATTCAGTCATGTTAATGAGTGGCTGGCACTTGGTGATCATTGCTGTTTAAGGATGAGTCTCTGCCACTAGGGTTTTATGATAGTTGCCTCCAAAAAATAATTGTGAGTCAGTATTTAGATGAATATTTAATTTTTTATGAAAATAAAGAAGAAAAATAAATAACATAGCTCTTGGGTCATGCTATTTAATGACATTTTCTTTCATTTACACCCAAACTGTCTTTTCTCATTATTTCTAGCAGTGACAAGTATTCTGGATTGTGTATCTCGGAGAGTATAATTTATCATAGTACACACACACACACACACACACACACACACACACACACACACAATGTATTTTATCCTATGCAAGGTGTTAGACATGTTGACAAAGATTATTTTAGAGAAAGAGAATGTGTTTATTATTTTGCCAAGGAGCCAAGACAAAGGAGAATTAGAAGTCAGAAGTTGTTTAGAGACAAAATTGAATTTTCTCACCAGCTTTTTTTTTTTTTTAATGTAAAGAATATTATGTTTCAGGAAGCAGACATTTTCAAAAGGAATCACTTGGCTCTGTGGTTGTAGTGTATTAAGGTCCCCAGCCCATTTTTGCATTGTCTTTGTATAAGCTGCTTGCTTGAGTCAATTATTAGAAAATCTTAGTTAATGCTGTCAGAGAACCAGGCTAAAATGGAACAATAAAGCTATCAAGCAGCTGCCTAGAAACCTAGCTCTCAGCAAAGAAAGAAAATGGAGAACAAAAGTAATTCATGCTATGTCCTGTGCTCAGAGATAGTTTTGTGATCTTTGGTTCTTATCAGAATATGAGCAAGAATATGAGCATCCTACTGCGAAAGGAAATAATGCAGTATCTTTGGTTTTGCTCTCCTAAGTGGTCTGCGCATGTTGGATAGATGATGGGGGAAGGGAGAGGAAGGGAGAGCATAGGAAAGGACAAGAGGAAAGGATGACTGGAGAGGAATAAAGGAGAGGAGGAGGAGAGAGAGAGGATCAGAAGTGAGAATAAGGAGGAAAGGGAAGAAGAGGGGAGAAAGAGTGAAGACACAGAAAAAGAGACAGAAAGAAAAGAGAAAAGAAAAGACAGTAGAGAGGAGAAGGAAAAGGAAAAAAGACAAAGAGTGGGAGGGAGGAAGGGACAGAGGGAGGGAGGGGAAAATGAGGAGAAGATAGAAGAAGGGTGAGAGAGGAGAGAAAGAAAAAGGAACCAAGAGAGAAAGGAGGGGGTAAAAAAGACAAGAGCCTGAGGGAGAGAAGGAAGAGAGGAGAGAGGATAAGGGGTTAGGAGAGAGTGGTTATGAAGAGAAAGAAGGTGCCAGGTGCCGAGGGGCAGGAACAGGGCAAGAGAGGGTGGGGATCTGACTACCCGCCACTTACAGTCCGTCTCCTGTCTGTGTACCTGGCACCTTCCAAGCACAGCTCTGCTGTTTGTTCTCATGACTCCGGCTAATTATTTCACGCTGTCTGCTTCGATTTCTTCCATGTGCAAAGCAGTGAATTATTATCAAGGTGAAAGGACCCAATATCGGCAAAATTCTGAGCCTGGGACCAGACCCACAGCAAAAAAAAAAACCACTGCTAGTTGCTAAAGCATAGAGGCTTGCCGCAGCTTGAGGGGCCCCGATGTGTAGATTTGTTTCCATGTTGTATGTCAAGATTTCCCGTTCTCCTGAGTCTTTCCCCTTCTTTCACAGCATTTTCTCATCTAAAACTGGACTTGCTTCATTAGTGAATTCCTTCTCTCTACCCACTTACTGAGGACTGTTCTCAGATCATCAAACACCTGCTGCTATTCAAACAGAAGGTTGAAGCCAAAGGGGAGTTTTTCTCACCTGTTTGAATCCTGAAGCTAACTTCTCATTGAGTATAGAGCAGTATGAATAGTGAGTGCGGCCATGCTTCGGGGCGCTGGTGATTGCTAAGCACATATTAGATCCTTTTGAAGCTTCAAGAAAATGAGAGGACCAAATAGTTGCTCCTGATTCTCACTTACAAGGGAATAAAATTAATTTGGAGGGTGTCCTGGAGAAATCACACAAAGGCAACTCTTAGAGCCTGGACGTGCACTGCCTCCCCTAAACCAAAAGGCCACTTGCCCACATTGGTTCCGTCAAGAGACTTTTAAAATTTGCCTGAATCTTAGTGTTGTGATATGGCACCTGGGAGGCCTTGGCGGGTTGGGCCAAGGTGAGCCGGTGGGTGAGGGAGACACACCATGCAGCCATGCAGATGAGGCGGCCACTGTGGTGTGGCGTGGTGTGGTGGAAAGTTAGTCACACCATGCAAAGCATCCACGTGGCAAGTTTATTGGGGAGAAGGGCGGAAAGAAGAAAGGGGAGGGAGGGGGAGAGAGAGGGGGAGAGAGAGAGAGAGAGAAGAAGCACACACCTTGTGGAAATGTTAAGGGGAGAGGAGTTTTCTCTTAAAGTGAGCTTTACCTAAGATGATGTCAGTATGCTGAGCAGGTGGGCCAGGGTATTATCTGCTTATTGGCCAGGATTCCAAGAAGTGGGTCTGAATGCTAACACCTAGGAAAAATGAAAAGCTGTATACAGGGAGAATCACACAGGAGCTGTTTGTCTTTCTTTCTTTTTCTTTCCTTCCTTCCTTCCTTCTTTCCTTTCTTTCTTTTCTTTCTTCTTCCTTCCTTCCTTCCTTCCTTCCTTCCTTCCTTCCTTCCCTCTCTCTCTCCCTCCCTCCCTCTCTCCCTCCCTTCCTTCCTGTAGGCAGAGTTCTCTGTGTCCCAGCAGCCACTTCACAATAACCACACTGAGCCTTAATATTAATTATAAGTGCTCTGTCAATAGCTCAGGCTTATTACTAACTGGCTCCTACATTTTAAATTAACCTATTTTCTTTCTTTCTTTCTTTCTTTCTTTCTTTCTTTCTTTCTTTCTTCTTCCTTTTTTTCTTCCTTTCCTTCCTGAGAAGATTTTATATGACAAACACAATAATCTTTTAACTTATCATTAATTTTCAGGATGTGAACAAAATGGAAAAATCATAGTTCTTGGGTGGATGATAATACTTGCAAGAGGTAAGATGAGAGCATCTAGATGAGAAGGAAGAGGGATGCGACAGCCAGGCTTCACCCTCTTTGTGTGTTCTAGGGACTCTCATGATGGTGAAGAAAGCACAGTGACATTCCAAAAGTGTGTTAGGCAGCTTTG